GCCAGCAGGAGCTTCTCTAGGAACAGGAGAGAAAAGAAAATAGAAAAGAGGAAGGAAAGAAAAAAAAGAGCGTGTGGTGGGGAAGGAAGGAAGGAAGGAAGGAAGGAAGGAAGGAAGGAAGGAAGGAAGGAAGGAAGGAAGGAAGGAACTCCAACTTTTTCAAACCAAAGCAGGGCATATTGCTTTATGTTAGGACCTTCCAGTTTTTCTCCGCAAACCTCAGTGAACGACTCAGTGAGTTTTTCACTGCCTATATGCCCTGTGTTGTCCCTGAAGCGGGGATAGCATCAGACTTTTCCATCCTAATTGGTTTCAAGTACATGGATTTTCTAGCATGCCTATATAACTGAACAGAAAATACCTCCTGGGAGCCTCCTGACTCCTGTCCAAGCACACACAGCCCACAGGTTTCAATTTCAGAAGGGAAACCAAAAGAATAATTAGTTATCGCCCCATGCTGAAAAACTCTGAAGGGTCTTTTACGTTTCAATGCGATTTCTTTTCACATTTTCCTTTAGTTTCTACGGCTTCATCCCTTCCCTCTACCACCGCCACCAGCCCGCCGCCTCCGAGGAGGGCCATGCACTTCTCCCGACGCCCAGGAGATGGTGCTGTGGAATTTGGATCGGGAGCTCGGCGGCCGGGGCCGGGGTCGGGGCCGTGGGTCCCCGCGGAGCCCCAAGGGGACCCCGGGACACCCGGCAGGTCTCCGCGGGAATGCTCAGGTGCCCTTGGTCTGTCTGCAGCCCTCCTTACACCTCCAGCGGTCACCCCAGAGGCGCAGGGCCGGGCTCTCAGGGTTATCGGGGTGTCCTTCCTCACCCCGAGAAGCCTCAGCCTCGCTGCGCTGTGGGCCAAGTTCACCAAGGCCGCCTTTGTACCCCCGCTAAGGACCACGAACGGAGGGAGTGCTTGCCTCCTCTCCGCAGCCCCTCGTCACACTAAAGTCCCCAAGGCCGGCTGTACACTCACGTCCGCTCCCCCCGGCACCGGGGAGCTGTGCCGGGCGTCCCGGGGACTGAGAGCATCGCCCCCTTCTCATACCCCTCAGGCCTGCTCCCGCCCGCGGAGCTCCGGCGGGCCCTGCCGCGGCTGGGAACAGCTCCCAGGCCAGTCCACCGCCTCCTGGGGCTGCCTCTGAGCGCACACGCACCTCTGAGGGTGTTTGCACCACGAGAGGATGCAGTGGGGAGGGTAATTTTATTTCTTTTTACTGGGTTTTTTCTACACCTTGAACTTCTACACTACTTGAAAAATAAAGTTTTCTTCACAGAGAAGACAACACGGCTGCAGTTGCGGCGAACGAAAGCGCTCTCCAAAGCTTGACTCAGTTCTAGAAAAGCCGGGCAAATCCCGCATGGGGGGCTGCCCCTGCTGCACTCGGCGCTCGGCTGTGATCTCCTCCAGGCTCTGCAAATTAGAGCAAGAAGAGACTTCGGGCTGAGCCGCTGGAAGAAGGACCAGAAAGTTGCGGAAGATCCCAAGCCCGCCTCTTGCTGCGGGGCCGTCCGTCTGCAGCAGGCACACGCCGTCCCTCTGCTCGGAGCAGGCAGGGAGAGACTAACCACCTGACTAACCTCTGTATGCACTCAGCTCTTGGCCGTCTGACGGCAAACATTTGGAAAGTGTCTTTCATCACGGAAACTTTTTCTGCAAACCCTACCCTGGAAAGGGGGATTTTACTTCTCTCACGGGTGGGGAGCGAAACAAAGTAATTCTAGTGCAGATCTTGCTGAAGACGCCACAGAAAAACAGCAATCACTGCGCTGTCCGCTCTCATCTGTATCCTGGGACCTTCCAGCGTCCTTGTCCCCCTGCCCCTGCCTCCTGCCCCTCCCAGGACAGCCCGTGCCCGGCCGCTCACAGCGGAGCCTGGGGGATGCTCCTTTCTGCAGCTCGGCTCCGGGCTGCTCATTTCCCGAAATAATGACCCAAGTGTGGAGGAGCTGGTGGCAGAGGGCTGCGGTACAATTAAACCAGGTAACGAGACGCTGGGCAGATGTGTTTTCATTGCGCTGTAAGATAAACGCAGTGTTAAATGCCTGACAACTTCCCAGAAGCAATCAGCAAAAGTTTACGAGTGCATAAACCTCAAAGACCATTCCTCGGTATTTTTATAAGCGCCGCATTTAAAGCTTCTATAAATTCTTCTGCTTGCTTCCAAACTAAAGTTCCCGTAGACTATTAAACAGCCACCTTCTTCGTGAGGTGGGGAGAGGCAGATCACACAACAGGCTGGTCCAGGGAAGGCGAGAGGGGCTCTCTTTTCGTCCCCTCCACTTTGCTCTCCCAACTCCCTCCCACACCTCCCACAAGGTAAAGTTTGTAAGAAAGTTAGCATCTTTAGAGCACGACAAGTCAAAGATGAGCACATTGGCAAGATGAAGGGATATATTAATGTCTCAAGAACAGGGGACAAACCCTGTAGAGAGGGAAAGGAAACCGTGAAGAGAAATTAAAGGAAAAGAGAGATGGTTGAAAAGACGGGATGAAGCAGGTAAAAAGAATACGACCGGATCTAGGAGCAGACCATGCAGACTGACCGGTGAACAGGGAAGAGCAGAAAAAGCTCAGACGGAGAGGGAGATTTCAGGAGCAGAGCGCAAATCGAACGCAGCCGAGGGGGAAAGGAGGCTGCCGCGGTGCCCCCGTTCTCCCGCCCCGACGGCGCGGCCGGCCAGCACCCCTCGCCGATCGGGGCAACCGCGGCGGCCGCAAGCCCGGGGCAACGGGACCCGCCGCCTGCGGAGAGGCGGTGTACGTCGTCCCCAAAGTTGCAGAAAAAAAAACTAGACAGTGCTAGTAAACCCACAGATCAGCTAGAGAGATCAAGCCGGAGCCTTCTGTCTTCGAAGAAATAAGATGAGGGGAATGAAATGTTCCCTCTAGCCATCAAATTATAATAACAGTATCCGCCATCCTTAAGTGACCACACGAGTTTTACAAGTTGGATATTAAGCAGATCAAATAATAATAATAAAAAACCCCAAATCCCTGTTGCGAACATAAAGTCCTTTGTTTATGATCCCGGGGAAAATGAAGTTGCTAATTGAAAAACAATAAACCTAAAATGCCTTTGGATTAATAATGATAGAGGTTAACGGTGACATCCATCCCTCGGAAAGGGGGAGGGGAGCGAGGCGCTCGGTGACTGTGCGCTTGGACGGCGACCAGGGACAAGCGCAGCAGCCAAATGGGGCTGGGGGCGGGGGGTGAGACCCTCCCTCTTCGGAGGGCTCGGCTTGTATGTTCGCCTCTGATCCGGAGACGCGAGGTGAGGAAGGTCTGTATTGTAGTCATGTCCTCACTAGATGAAATCTCAGTCAATTACTCTGAAATCTGCAGCTTGGCTTCTTTTCATTCTTTCCAGGTGAAAATTCAAACGTTTTCTGTTGTCGCCTGGTCCTTTCTTTCCTGAAACAAGGCACCCAACTGTTCTGATATTACCATTCAAAAACGGGTTCTGTGGCAAACCTCATTTGTGAATCTATTACAGAGATTAATAGATTATTTCTCCTTTTTCAACTAATTCTCAGTGGGGAAATTTAACCATATGGTAAGGAGAGAATTAGAATTTCATCACATTAGAGCAAAATGTAATGAAAAGAGTCCAACACCTGGGGCCAACTCCGAAAGACACAATTAAAAGGTTTTTAATGAAACCAGAGAAACCAAAAAATTTTCATAGCCTTCAGTAATCCTGCCACATAAGAATTATTTGAAAGTGTTGGGAAATATTGTTTTTTACTGATGTCATAAGAATGAAAACCTGCTACTAAATACTCTGAGTGCTAACAGAAAGGCGAGAGCGAGCTGCTCGCCTCAAGCATCAGAGGAGTAGTGGGACAAAATTCTGACCGACCCTCGGGTTCCACTTCAGCTTTTGGAAGAGTGCGGAGGAGAGTGTTGCCGGCTCCGAGGAGAAGCCCCGAGAGAGGAGCAGGGAGTCGGAGTGACCGGATAACTGAGGCCGCCTCGCCCTGACACCGGCGGTGGGGAGAAGAGCGGGGGTGCTCCGGCCGAGCAGGGCTCACTGGAGGGAGGCAGGAGGGCACGGACCTGCAAAGAGTTGGTCAGTCACAGTAAAAAATAAATTTTAAAAAGTTTGGTGGGTTTTGCCCTTTCTCTTCCCGCCCTCTCTCTTCCCCAGATCCGTTCATTTTCAAGGTAACTGATGGGGCTTTATGTTTTTTATAGGGACACGGGGGATAATCACTCGCAAGCAGCAATCTGCTGCTTGAAAAGGGATAAGGGAAGGAGGAGGGGAACCTCCCCGTAGTTTGGTCTCCGTTTGTTTGGGGGGGGGGCGGTAGGGTGGGGAGAGGGAGGACTGGGGACCACCCGCCTCCCAAGGAAGCGAGGTGGACTTTAGCGGTGGGCAGGAGTGGGCACGACGGCTGGGGTTGCTCCGGGGGTTTTTAATTTAATGTTTTTCTTTCCCAAGCGATGCTTTTCGGGAAGACGGGTGGGGGTGGGAGGGAGCTATAAGTTAATGTAAATGCAGGGGGTGGGTGGGCAGGGGGGAGAGGGTGTCACTCCCGACTCCACGGCTAAGTTAGCAGAAGTCTGCTGGCAGCACTCGGAAGGAGAAGTGTTGAAGTGGGCTTTTCTGCAGTGCAGGGCTGTAATTTGCTGAAGGAGGCAAAGAACATCCTTCGATCTAAGTAGGGCTTTTAGTGTGCTCATTGATGAGTGAAAGTCGCCACACATGTCAAGCTAAAGGCAGTTGTTGGGTTACTAACAGGACACAACGTCTTGCAAACATATGCGTTAAGCTGTGTATACAGATGGCAGGGAGAATAATGGAGCAGGCGCCTCTTATAAAGCTCTAGCTGCTGCCTGTCTTCAGACCTGGGAAAAGAAACTATTCAGACTCAGGGCCAGATAGCGCCTGGGATTGTTTGTTACCGTTTTAATCCTATTAATTAAAACGTTAACCTGATTGGGTAGAAAGCTCTGTCCCAACAGGCGAGTCTTCTTCATAATAACCTACTCTCAGAGATAATGATGTAAAAGACTCCCCCGTCTGCGGCGGCTGCTGGTTGATGGGTCCGGAAATCTCTTGAAGGTGAATCCAAGCAAGATAAACGGTGGAAGCGGCTCCGCTGGCAGCGCACAATGCCCCAGCGCGGCGCCTGCTGAGGGCGAGCCGGAGCCGCAGCCGGAGCCACAGCCACAGCCCGAGCCCGAGCCACAGCCGCTGCCGGAGCTGCAGCCCAAGCCGGAGCCGCCGCCCGAGCCGGAGCCGCAGCCGGAGCCACAGCCGGAGCCGCAGTCCGAGCCGCCGCCGGAGCCAGAGAAGGGGCAGCCGCGGCGCCGGGCACGGCGCAGCTCCGGCGGGAGCCGGGAAACGATTTCTGCCAGCGGGACGCCGGGGAGCCGCCCGCCGCGGCGCGGAGCCTTGGAGGAGCGGGCCGGGAACTGAGGGGGGCGGAGGAGGCGGAGGCGAGCGGGGCGCCGATGGAGCGGGCGCTGGGGCTGCCCGCAGAAGAGGACCTCTTCCACAAGAGCCTCGCCGCCTCGGCCAAGCGCATGGAGTCCGCCTTCCGCTCGCCCCCGGGGCTCGACCTTTCCCACCCCCGCGACCGCCAGCCCTCGCCGCTCGCCTGCTACGAGGCGTCGGAGCCCGAGGCGCTGCTGCAGCCCGGAGTCGGCGGCGACCCGCTGGCGCTGCCGCCGGGCTCCGTCTGCGTCAAGTACGGCGAGAGCGCCAGCCGCAGCTCGGTGGCCGAGAGCAGCGGCGGCGAGCAGAGCCCCGACGACGACAGCGACGGCCGCTGCGAGCTGGTGCTGCGCGGCGCCGGGGGGGACCCGCGCGTCGCCTCGCCGGCAGCGGGCGGCGGCGGAGGGGGGGGCGGGGGGCTGAAGGCGGCCGAGGGCAGCTGCTCCAACAGCCACGGGCACGGCGGCAGCAAGAAGTCCAAGGAGCAGAAGGCGCTGCGGCTCAACATCAACGCGCGGGAGCGGCGGCGGATGCACGACCTGAACGACGCGCTGGACGAGCTGCGGGCGGTCATCCCCTACGCGCACAGTCCCTCGGTGCGGAAGCTCTCCAAGATCGCCACGCTCCTCCTGGCCAAGAACTACATCCTGATGCAGGCGCAGGCCCTGGAGGAGATGCGGCGCTTGGTGGCTTATCTCAACCAGGGCCAGGCCATCTCGGCCGCCTCCCTGCCCAGCTCCGCCGCGGCGGCGGCGGCGGCGGCGGCGGCGCTGCACCCCGCCCTCGGCGCCTACGAGCAGGCGGCCGGTTACCCCTTCAGCGCCGGGCTGCCCCCCGCCACCTCCTGCCCGGAGAAATGTGCCATCTTCAACAGCGTCTCCTCCAGCCTCTGCAAACAGTGCACGGAGAAGCCTTAAGCGCCGCCGCCGTGGCCGCCCCCCGCCGCCGCCGCGGCCCCGGGGAGCGGCGACAGCCGGCGGTGCGGTCCCGGGCCGGGGGGCGCGGAGACGGCGGAGGGACTGACCGCTGCCCGGCCCCCGCCACCCTCTGCCCGGACTCGCCTCGCCTCGCCGCGCTCTTCTCCTCGGGTGCCGCCGAGACGGGACCGCGACGGGAGCCAGCGTGCGTGCGGCGGCGGGGAGGGGGCGCGGGGCCGGGGGTGCCGCGGGGAGGAAGGAAGGCCCGGCCCGGGGGGCGCCGGGGGGGCTCGCTGCGCGTCCGGACAAAGGAGAGGCCGGGAAATAGCAGGCCGGGCTGGGAGCCGGGGCTATCGCCGGGGACAAATCAGAGAGGGCACTTGAACATAGATTTTTTTTTTATTAATTATTAGCAGTATTATTATTATTATTATTATTCTGAGCCAGGAAACAAACAAACTTGAAATGTAAACTTATTATTTAAGTGACTCGCAGAAACAAAGAGACTGGACCATTGCTATGGAAGACTTTGTATTTTTTATCGTCTCTAAACTTTGATCCTGTGAAAATGCGCAAAGTTTGGTGAGAGTGATTTAAAAAATCGAGAGAGTTAAAAAAAGACAAAAAATAACCGATCAAAACCCCTACTCCGTGTCGCTGAAAGTATCGCATTTTTAAAAGAAATATTTATGTGCACCTTGTTTCTTTCCACTTTGCAATGATGTATAAACAAGACATGCTATTTATTTGTTATTCTTTAAAATGACCCTTCCACGCCAACAATATTTATCATGTGTTAAGGTCATGGGTCTTATGTGCAGTTACTTTAAATGCTTCTAAAATTCTGTTTATGGATTAACTTAAACTGTGTGCCAAGTGTTTAAAACATTTATTTGCCAACAACATATAGCCAGAAATGTTGATGTATCCGAGCTGCTTAGGTTTATGAAAGGTCATCTGGATTTTAAGTTGCATCATCCCTGTATTTAAATTGAGCTTTAATAAATTGCTTCAGTCCAAAAATTACAGGAAAAGTGTATTCTTAATTGCTCAACCAACTGATTTTTGAAAGGGTATTCTTTGCATTATAACAGGTAATAACTATTTACTTTTACAAGGCATCAGAGCAATAGCTGCTACAAGAACACTTGCCAAGCCAATGTTTTCCCAGGCGCTGTGTTTTCGAAGGTATAATTTAAACCGCTTTTAATGTGTATGTAAGTTATTCTGACTGTGGATAATTATTTAAGTTGAAATACTTTAAATACTTTAGGCTAATTTACAGAACGCGTGGAATTCTTCTCTTCCTTTTTCAGGGGATGTGGGGGGCGGGTTTTGATTTTTTTTTTTAAGAAAAATGAGAGATGAAAAGAAAGAAGTAGCTATTTACCCAAAGTGAGCCTTCAGTTTGAGTTTGCATGGCTGGGTGGCTGTCTCTCTGCCATTTGTAAATCAAGATTTTTTTTTTCCTTTTTTTTTTTTTTTCTTTTCAAAAACGAGTCCTGCTTTTTTCCACTACTTGCAGATAATACAAATTCGGACTGTCAGGTTGGATGGCAAAATAGGAGCCATGATGGATCTGTTGGCAGGTCACGGATGTGTAAAGAGTGATATATATTAAATAGGTCAATCAGATTATGACAGCAATGTACGATCGTTTGTATGTGTATCTATGTCGGAAAGAATCTTTATTAAAATATTTTGAACAAACGCTTGTATTACGCTGTGCTTTGTTAAGCATATCCACGCAGATTAAAGGAGGTGGATGCTGGGGATGGGTAGTTTTCTTTCCTTTGCCTTGCTCTGAGCGCTCCCCACTACCCTCCCCATCACCCCACTCCCGGCTCCGGGTGTCCCAGGCAGGGAAGCGCGAAGTTCTGCGTTTCTCCCGCTCCCGTGGCAGGCGGCAGCCGTGGGGCAGCGCCGGGCCCTGCCCTGCCCGCCCGCCCCGAGCCCGGGGGCTGCCTGCGCCGCGGGGTACGCTGCAGCACCGCCCCCCCGCCTCCTCCCAAGTCCTCCGAGTTTTGGAGCAGCCCCTCCCCTCGTGGACCCTCCGCCCTGCCCCAAACCCGAGGGCAGGGGAAGCAGGCAGCCCCCCCAAGCTGTCTGCTCGGAGCTAAGCCCGGGCCGGGGGTCCCGCTCCTGCGGATCCCCCCTCCCCTCGGGCGGCCCGGGCCGGCGCCGGGTGTCCGCGGAGCCGCCTCTCCCAACGGCAGCACCACAGGCGGGGGAAGGGTATAAATATTTTCTGCTCCACTTCCCATCAAAAAAGATTAATCAGAACCTGTAACTTTTCAGGAAACATAACTGTAAAGTGCCACGGAGCTGTGGGAAGGCAGCCCAGAGAGGGTGGGCAGATCAGCCCCCAGGCGCAAGGAGAAGCGTCTCTCAGCATTTACTAGACAAAGGCTGGGTGCGTCTAATTATGATTATTAAAACAATTTCCATGACGATGTCTAATATTATGTTAATTTGAAAACAACTGTGTATGAAAACTGTCGACTATAATACCTAAATTCATTTAATGAAACACATCGTTAAGGCAATTAAACCTCCTGGATGTGATTAAGGAACATAATTACGACACTGTTCTGCGCCATAATTGGGTGTCTTTAATCAAGGGGTAAAGTGATCAGCAACACAGCCATTAGTTTGTATTGTTCTGTCTCTGCTGTCCATCATTCTGATTAGGAATTAACCACCGCCACCAGCTTGGCGTGGTGCGTGCCTGTGCGTGTGTCTGTGTGAGTGTGTGTTCGTGCATATAACATCGCAGGACACATTTGCTGCAATATTTACCGCTTAATGTCTCTGGCTATCGAGCGGGCTTCCTTCCCGGAGAGGCTCCCTTGGAAGGCGTGGGCGCTGCTCGGCTTTGCCCGGCCGTGGGGTGGGGGAAAATAAACCAGGTCCCAATAAACTCCTGGAGCGGCCGGGACCTAAGGCGGGGAGAGGGCAGGGGGCTGGGAGAGGCCCACGCCCTGCCTCCCGGCTCCCTGGCCGGGGGCAGGGTCCGAGGTGTGCGGGCCGGGCCTGGTGTGCTCCCCGCCGGCTCTGGGGAGCGAGGTCTGTGGCACATGGAGCGGTCTGTCCGCTCACCGCTCTCCCGCCTGCCTCTGCCTCGGAGCGACGGGACAGCGGGATGAAAATCTTTGTCATTCCTGGCTACCGCTGCCGCCCGACTTTGGGCTCTCTTGCTTCCTCTTCGATTGCTTCGGAGGGGGCGAGGGGTCCGTGCCAGGTAGAGGTGCTACCACTCCTGGCCCCACTCTCCTGGCGCGCTGTACCGGGCATTCTCCCTGGGAAGCGGCGCGAAGCCACTGGGCCAGTCCCTGAGCAGGTCCTGCCAATGCAAGCGTAATGTGTGCCGGGCTGGGGGGAGGAGAGAGGCTCCCCCGCCCGCCTTAAAGCTTGACAGATCACTTAGCCAGAAATGAACATGTACCCTTTCAAAAGAGTTTCTTCCCCGTTTCCAATAGCCCCACCGAACCGGGATCTCCCTCAGCCTCATCCGGAGCTCCCTCTGGCCCCGCCGCCCAGCCTGGCTTCCTTCCCCGGCCCCTTACCCCGGCTCGGAGCCTAGATTGTCCCAGCATGAGTGACATTGGCTTTCCTAATGTAATGACTTATGAAAGATATAATCATGTGTTAAATTGAATCCTCCGCTTAACTGTTAATGGTGTGCTCTGGGCACATTTACGTATTAGATGCTATGGTAACTAATTACCACTAGAAGAAGGGATAATACACTTTCCAGACTTTGACAAATAATTATGAGTGTTCACATCCCTGCTAGCAGCAGTTGCAGCGGATCTGCTGGAATGAGTAAGTGAATAAATGAATGGGTAAGTGAACTTGTGTGCATGGAGGGGACTAGATAATGAATAGTGGTCAAGTGAGTTTTCTTATTAAAACCTTTAATGAAAATGTGATTTAGGGTGGAAGGGGGAAAAAAGTGCGACGCTGCCTCTAAACGTAATTAAATCGCGTAATATAAACATCAGAAACATAAATAAGTTTGCTTTTAATTAAAACTCAGCAGTCAAAGTAAATTATCCACGTGCTCGGAAACTTTACAGCAATTAACACTTTTTTTTTTTTTTTTTTTTTTTTTCGTGGTGGTGGTGGCGGAGGGAGGCAGTTGGGGGGGTAAAACAAACGAGCCGCTACTCTCTCCAGGATCATTTGTAACTGTGGTCGCACCGCTGCTTCCCACAGGCCAGACTGATCCTGAGGCTCTCAGCAAACAGTGGAAGAGCTCCTTGTCGGAGCGGGACAAAACTTTGGGGAAGTCGCTCTGGGCCCCGCTCCGCGGGGTCGCTGCCTCCCGTCGGGGCCCGGCCCCCGCCGGGGAAAGCTCCGGCACTAGCGGAGCCCGAGGAGGGCGTAGGGCAGGTTCTCCCTGAAGCGTTGCCCATGGCTTAGGCAGGCGCCGCAGGGGTTAAGCCGATTGTGCCCGCTCCTGCGCTGCCATCCCGCCGGAGCAGGGGCAAAGGCGGGAGCCGCTGCCGGGAGCGGGAGCCGGCACGGCTGCCCCGGCCCCCAGCCCCACCCGGGGGCTCCTAGCAGCCCTCCACGTCGCGGAGAGGACATCTGCTAAATGAGCAGAGAGCTGCAGCCAGCCCCATTTAGCCCTGGTCACTCATCAGCTCGGTGTCACCCAGCCCGCCCACACCCGCCCCCGAAGCGCTCCGGAGGGGAATGTGGTCTGGTTCGGCTCGTTCTCCAGCCTCGGGAAGGGTTAAATCCTTCCCCAAGCCCCTAGTTGCCCTTGTCCTCTCAACCTGATTCAGAGACGTGTAATAAAATAGGAAGCAAATTTATGGTCTGTTTCAAGCACTTTACTGCTGTATTTTTAAATTCATATATGCACATATAAGAACTATGATCTGTGAATAATTTGAAATGCTATAGGAAAATGATGTATTTTAGATCAAACATAACCGTTTTCTTACGTAATTGTCTCGGATTAAAATAAAAAAATAAAGATACATTTCGAAGGGAGACAAAGCTGAAAATCTAATGACAGCCATAAACTGCTAGACAGCCATAAATTAACGTCTTCATCAAACACTGAAGGGATCAGTGCTTATCTAAATCAACAATTATTTCTTCCGAGAAGTTGCAGAACAGATTGCCCCTTTAATACTATTTTTAAATCTTCATAATTGAGGATTAGGGAAAAACAATCGCCTTTCCAGAGCAAACCTCCTCTCCACCAGCCGAAGCCATCCAAACTCACCGAACACCCAGACCGCTTCCCTGGGCACCTCCTCGGGAGTCCCGTCCCCTTGTCCCACTGCAGCATCCCTGGCATATCGTGATGCTTTTAGGAAGGGGCATGCAGGAGTCTTTCCTCACCCTCCTCTCCCCTGATTTCTGTCGCGGGCCGGGGGAGGTGGGAGCTCAGGGAGCACCAGCCGGCAGCGGGAGCCCGGCGGGCAGCGGGCAGCGGACGGGGATGCGGGGATGCGGGCGGGCGAGGGTGCGGGTCCCCGCCGCCGCCGCGGGCCAGGGGCATCCCGGAGCGGCAGCATCCCCCCGTGCTTCCACCACCAGCTCAACTAATGCCCATCCGCTTTTCAGGTTCAAAGCTTTAGCGAGGCGGCACTTCTCCCAGCTGCAGCCACCTGCGAAGCCGGTTTTGCGAGAGGCTGCTGTAAAGAATTCATTTTTTAAAGGCAACTGAAAGATATGTTGTGAAGACAGGCGATTCACTGGCTCGCAAGATGGAAATTAGACAGGGAAAGACTTGCTGCCTGTAGGAGATTAGCGAGCGACTAAACTGTTTGGAAGAAAGAGGTAGTTGGAAAGATGAGCTGATGGGGAAGAAGTCGCTGTCAAAAGTCATCACAGGGTGTTTGCCTACTGACTTTTACTCTCCCTGTAGCCAGAACTTAGACTTTTATTCAACTTTTCTGTACTCATAGCTGCTGGTTTTGGGGAAAAGAAAAATAAACCGACACATTAGTGTCAAAATGGGTTTAACAAATCTTTGAAAATAGAAAGAATCCTGCAAGGGTTCTAGCAAGAACAGCTGAAGCTTAGGCTACTTTTGATTATTTATTTTGGTGTGAATAGTTTTGAAGATGAGCACATTTCTGCTGTTATGAATGATGTACTCATACAAACAGTACATGAGATCACAGGAAAGCCTGATGCATAGAATAAACACAGAACTGTTTTATACGAGGATGAAAATCCCACCACAGCATCCTTGCTTTCACTTTAAAATGGAACATTGTCTACCTTTTTTTTAATAAGCTTTTATATATTTATTAATATTTATTACTAATTAGAAACATAGACAATAACTTAAGGATCACAATACTTTCATAAACATACTTTTGAGGGGTGTTTTTGTAATGAGATAATTTTTCTATTATGTAGTAGGTATGGGGACATGACTAGCCAGGGTACATAGGCTGGTTTAGGTAGTAGACAGGAAAATATTTCACTTTCTATGGTCTGGCAGTTAGAATAGCTTTATTCATATGAGTTAAGCATATGCATAATTTGATACCTTGAACAGTTTTAAAACACAGTGCTATACAAGTAACATCAAGACAGTACCTAGTATCAAATCAAATACTGGATAAAATACAGTGTTGGGGGGGGTCTCACTAACTCCTTCCTCTCAAGCTATCTTTCGGACCATTATGGAAAGCTCACTCAGAAATGTGCCCTTCAAGAAATCTCAAACAATGCCACTTTTTAATTTATAAATTTCAATAACTTCTAATGTAGCCTGAATTTAGAACAATTGCACAGCTACACACATTTGCCAAACCCAGAAAATGTTGTAGGTCTGTCTTCTCAGGGAAGCATGCTCAATAACTCTCCAGATATACCTGGCAAGCATTTCTGCATGAAGGAATGGAGAAACACCGATGTCTTTAGGGTACAACCTTCCTATTAAATACCTGTAGAACTCAGCAGCTACAGTGATACCTAGAAAAGCCAAGTTGTGCTTTGCTGGTGCAGTGCTGTGCATCGTAACAATTTCATTCATATCCCCTTTTAAAATGAATGATCTGTGAAGACAGAATATTTTACTTTAGGCAGTACATCTTGTACTACATGGAGGTTTGCAAAAGTAAAAGCCTAGGAGTTGCACTTAGGGATCACTAGTGGACTGCAGATCTCTATATTAATTTTGAATAATGTCCTAAGAATGTCAGAAGTACCACTTTTTTAACCTCACCTGATGAGAACTGGCTTATGTTTCCTGGCGGGGGTGTGATAAAAAAGACACAATACTTTCCAGTATTCAAAGGAGTTTCTGTATTTCACTGCTGAACTAAAGGCTTTTTTTTTTTTCTTTTCATTACAGAAATATCTGTCAAGATCAAATAACAGAAAAATGTAGTATGTTGAAATAATTATTAAAAAATTAAAGCAATAGTTGTGAATCTATGAGAAAAGTATAAACATAAGCTGGAAAAAATACCACAGACAATCATTCAATATTAAAATAGATATATTCCTTTTTATTGTGCCCTTGAAATACAAAATTCCTTTAAGATGTTAGATTACTAAAATAATGAAATTTCTATTTTCTTGCTCAGAAGTACCTTAGTTGATCTAGGAGCCTGAACAACGGATATTAACTGTTAAAATAGAACCTAGCTATTGTTCATCTATATACAAATTGTGAGTTTGCAAAATTAAGAGCACTTCACAATCTCTTGAATGACCGTTCAATAATGACAAAATAAAAGATCATGTAACATTCTACAAGAAAAATTCACAGACCAGTAATTATTCATAAAAACAGCAATGCCAAAAACAGTGACATGCAGCTGGCTTAAAAGCATAAAGAACAACTTTTTCATGGTTTTATATTATTACATTAGCTCATACAGATAGAGATATTAAAATCTAATTTGCAAACAGGTACACATATACTAGATGGTTTCCTAAATACTGGAACATTTTAAAAAGTTTACAATAGCATCTAGCAGTACTAAGTGCCAACATGAAAATGGAGAACATTCAATCTGTAAATTAAAATAAGAAGAATAATTAAAAAACTGTGTTTTAGCATTCACATTAGTTCATGATAAATTAACTTTCTTCTTGGGTGCTCTAAAGGGCCAGACTGACTTAAACCTATTTTTTTTTAATGAGAAAAAAGGTGCTTATGTTTTTTAATAGCAGAAGATACTACTGATACAGCCGCAGACATCAACAACTTACAGTCAGAGGCTGGTAGTGACCAGACGAGTCACATCTCAAACTGATGGGTGAGTGCACCAATTCATCAAGGAACAGCAGAGGAATTCAGGGGGTACCACGTGCTCCTCCTGCCTGATCCTGCACCTGCCAGGTCTGTGGATGCCCCCAGAAGGTACTGCTGGGCTGGAAGGGCAGACCCCTCTGCTGAAGTAGAGAGGTGGGAGAGGGAAGCCCAGGTCTGCCGCCTCCCAGCCTGCGCTGCAGCCAGCACCTGAATGCTGGCAAAGAGCACTGCTCTTTCTGCTTAGATGATTTTGCCTTTTGTGCTCCAGTGACAGACACCCAGAGCTGCACAATCCTGCCTCCTGCAGCAGAGGAGGTCATCAAAAAGGAAACATGCTCTTCTTGACACCCTGAAGCTAGCTTGGTTCCAGCTGGGACTTTTGGGGATGCTACACCCTGTTGTGCTGTCTCAGCTTATTAACCAGGAATACCAACACCACAGGCCTTTCAGTCCCGCTCCATGGAGACTGAGTCACTCCTGGTCCGAACAGCCAGTATGTCCCCTCCTCAGCTGCTGAATACATGGACCAGAAGGGCTTAACCTCCCTGTCCAACTCCGGCTCTCATGGCTTTACATGTGGGTGTGGTTTACTTCCTCAGCATTCGAGGTGTGCCAAAGTAGTGATGCAGTTCTTACCAGCTAAACTAATCTACCAGGAGCCTGGGTTACCAGGGACACAATTCCAGGCCAGGCTGAGCAGACCCTGCTTTGCATTTCATTATTTTGGTTCTTGAGCAAAACGAGCAAGCAACTTTTATCTCATCAGAATGCTGGCCTCTTGCGTGGTGCTCTCTAACTTTGATGCAAGGTCTACAAGCAGCTTCATAGAGGTTTCATCCAACTCCTGGGAAAGATTCTGACCCTTTTCTCTTTTCTTTTTTTTTTTTTTTTTTTTTTTTTTAAATGGAGCATATGATACAGATTTATGTTGCTACTTTGGAGACAATCTAGTTCTTCTTTTAATTTCAGAATAGATACTATACAAATTGATCAGCAGTTAATCTGAAACTACTAATGATTTGCATGTACTTTTGGCACAGTCCTATTATGCCCTATCAAATTACGCAGCAGCCAGTGATACTCTAATTCAAAACCCTAAAAATAGAAGACAATTATAAGAAAGAGGCTTCTGTTTAAAACAAATACCCAGTGTTTTTTTCGCAGTTGCTTCAGGTTTGTTTTAAAGTTGGATGCCAAAGAAGGAATCATCATAACTGTAGCATGAGACATTTTACAGCTTACATATAAGCAATAATGGAATACAGTCAACAGTGTAATGATATCAACATTCCCTCTCTCAATAAACCAGGCTCTAATGTCTAAACTGGATTGTGAGCTGCAGCTGAGTACAGAATAGCTTCTACAGAGTAACCACAGGAGTAAGTAACCTGAGTACAAGAATGTCTCCATAAAACCCAATTTTACTCTGTGGCACAAAGCAATAATCAGCATTTGCTGTTGATTAAATGTTGAAGTAAAGTTAAAGCATTTAATCAACCATAAAGTTCATTTAATGTAAGTGTACTCCAAATCTGTAGACATTATTGATACTATATATTAAGAGAAAATGTTTATCTAATATATCTCACAAAACCACAATTTCCTTCTTGGAGGACTTGGAATGTGGCTGTATCAATCTCTGAAAGTCTTCCTACTGATGCTGATGCTTATTTAGAGTATGTGCTATACACAAATGACTGAACAGACTTATACAAAAATAACAATACATAATTATTAGTATTTAGATATTAGTTTTCATCCATAGGCCATCAAGTGCCATATAGATTAGTAGAATTTCTGATTTTGAAAGACTTACTCTGGCACATCCCAAAGAGAGATGTTTTTTTAGGAACACAAGGCAAGGCCCACAGATGTGGCTATTCTGCCATTACAATTATCATCTTGGCAAATTGAGACTGGACAGCCATGGGAATCCTCATCAATCTCTGAAGTGATGGCTGGGAAGAGAGACAGGGTCTAAAATCTCAGATTTTTTGCACTAGGAAATTAATTTTCCAAACAAGAGCTGGGCACCCAGTGAGCAGGTTGGGCAGCCAGTATAAACTTCTGTGGCTGCCCAGGGTTTTCACTTGCTCAAATTTTGGCCCCAGGGAAGAGCCTATTTTCCAATCTGCAGATGGACAAGTCTGTTTCCAAACACAGGTCACACTACTCTGCCCATGCACAACTTAGGCAAGGTAAAACAATGTTAAAAAGCATTTTTAGATACCACACTTGCCCTTGAAACCCTCTTCCTCTTTTGCCTTTTCGGAGAAATGAACAAACATAAGAAACAGTCAAAATAAATGCACGAGCATGTTACTCAGAAACAGTGAGAGAAAGAGAAGCTAATTTTTGTGGTGATAGAATAATTTAAAATGGGAATATATTTTCTCCCTGAACAATATGCTTGGGGGGGGGGGGGGGGGGCTCAAAAGCCAAAATAGATAATTAGGCTTGATCAAGAGCCTATTAAAACTATTCAACAGAACTTCTCTTCTGACTTTAAATGATTGCAGGAAAGAAATCACATATTTTAAATTTTTGCACTCACTGCACCAAAAAAAAAAAAGAAAAAAAAAGGAAAAGGAGTAAGAAAGCAAAGCATTCACCCTCAGTACATAAACCTGAAGTTAGAAATGTGTCAGCAGTAAGACATTCTTGCAAATCACCCTCCACCACCCCACACAACTTCCATCACACCTCCCAAAAAAAGGGCGAAGACTCTCAAGACCATGAAAGAAATAAAGTAAATATAAAGTTAGGATAATAATCACAAGAAGCTCCTCCTTTCTTGTTATTATGCTTTTATGAGCAGATGCTGATATTCATGTAAGTGGCCTGGATTCATCTTTCCTGTAAATCCTGCTCATCTCACAGCCAAGAGTATGGGGATGCACCTTGTAGAGATGCTGGGCTATTTACTTGGCCAGACTCTTGTCACGTCACCTCACTTCTCGCAATGCAAGCAGGACAAATTGAGGTTGGACATCCCTGCATCTGGTCTCTACCTCCAGCCCAACAGCTTTTCTCCTTAGAAACAAAGAGGAAGGAGGTAAAAGCAGAGAGGGAAAAGCAATTGTTTCCAAAAATATAAGGCTGAGTGATGAAACAGAGCAAACATGGAGATTAGTGGAAGGCATATAGGCAGCTGCTCAATTTCTTAAGGACCTTAGCTTGTAACGAAAGGCAATATCAACGTCTGGCAGGAGGATACCAAGGCCCATGCGACTGTTATCAAGTCTGACAGCTTTGTTTTCTGCTAGTTCTACATCAAAATGAGACAATAGTATGAAAAGAAACATCTTCATCTCATTCATTGCAAGGAACCTCCCTGGACACATGCTGATCCCAGAGCCAAAGGGCATTAGGAAATACTTCAGTTTTCTTCCTGCCTTGTAGAATGTGGTTTTCTTCTTGCCATTCTCTATGTATCGATCGAACTTATACTCCTGAAAATGAAAGAGAAAGAGAGAGACAGCGTGATATCTAACAAGGCAGTTACATGAGCTGCTTTTTTGCACAATGGTAACGCGTCTGAAACCCAGAAAATAAGATAAAGAGGAAGACAAGGAGCTGACAGCTTCTTCTTTTTAGTTGGTTCCCTCAAGTTTCATTAACTCACATTATCTTCCCTGCAAAGAACACTCTTTAAATCCACTTATTTAGCTTAGTCCTTTTACATCAAGCTCCTTCAACTTCCTCATCTCATCCACTGAGTGTCTGGCCTATATTGATTGTAATTAGATTTTGACCGCTTTGTAGCAGGGACAATGAACCTTAGTGGAAGGACAATTTTCTTGTAAAGCATCATACACACTCAGTGTGGTACATACATCATGAATAAGGATAATCTGCCAAATTCTGCAAATGCCTATGAATAAATTAATGCATTGCACCAATTTTGGTCTTGCAAGCCAGAGCAAACCCTCTTTTGCACCGAATGGTGCAGATTATTCGAAAATTCCAGTGCTTTGCAGTCAGTTTTCCTTTCAGTTGGAGATGGTCGCTGCTTAATTTGCCACATCTTATCTTCAAATATTTTGCTGCAGAAGCTGTGAGCAAAGGAGGACAATGCCAGTGACTGGCCATTACAAAGAGGGTGTTTTCAAGTAAGGCTTGAGGTCACACTTGTAACCTACATTCCATAAATTGAACATATTTCTGACTATTTTTGAGTAGCAGGATCCCTGTCTAGAAATAATTTGTGTTTTTGAATGAAGGAGATCTGGCATCCTCACTCAGTCAATGGCAAATTAACCACTTACAAAACCCTCCTGCATGCTTTGAATAAAAATGACAGGCACTTCTTGCTTATGGTCACTCATTAGCATTTGTCCTGCTTTGCATACATCTGCTATAGCAGCAGCCATTTGGAGCTGGCTGGGAACAAGTCAGTCAGACAGAAACCGACCTCAACTGATTAAAAAAACCCCACACCACCATTAAAAATACACTGATACTGATCTACCCATAAAGGCTCTGAAAATCATGCACTCCAGATCTTGCTGCTGAGAAAAAAATGCCAGGGGAGGTGGTCAGTGAGAAAGGGAGCAAATACTAGGTGCACTGGAGGGGATGTAACTTTGGGTGCTGAAGAGCAAGAGCTTATTTCACTAAATGGCAGAGGCCTGGATTTTCCACAAATATAAAGGTGATTCTATGTCTGCTTCCACTGACAGGTAATTCTTTTCAGTCTCTTCGTACACCCCAGCCAAAGGGAAGCACGCCTTTATTTTTTTCTACCAGGAAGTTATTGCTTCATTTGGTGCAGCACAGTAACAAATGCAAGTCCAGAATACCATAAGATTTACTTCCTGAATTCTAAATCCTACTGGTTTTAAAAAGCACTGCTAAATATGAACTGCAATAGCTTAAAAACCCAACCCAGAGCTCTTCACTTCGCTCAAACATTTTCACAAGGTGCACTTCTGGTGTCTGGAGGAATTAAGAACTGTGTTATTGAACATACAGACACACTGGATCAAACCTTATGCTTTCTTTGTCATATTAAGAGCTTTCTGAGACTTGCAATTGCTTTTAACAAAAAATAAATTGCTGTCTAAGGAACAGGGAAAACAGAAAACAAGTGTGAGACAGGAATGCAGCCAATGACAGTAACATCAAACTCAGGGCTGCTGAAGCCCCTTGGGTTGAGTAGTGTTTCCTTAAAAGCTAGTTCACTGACTAAAAAAAGACTAATTTTTTTAAAAATGAAGGAATTTTCAGCCTTGCACAAGGTCTCCTGAAAGAGACATGGTGGCTGACAGCAAGGGAAAGGTCAGGATGCTGAGCGAAAGCAGGCAGTTAAGTTCTGTGTGGATGAGCTGCTCCAAGTATTATGAAAACCGAGCAATCTCCTGTGATTGATCTAAGTCTCCTTCTGTCACATACTGTATTTAGCTTTGTTTGGGAAGTCACCATAGAGGGTTTCCTGCAGGGTTTCCTGATACTTACTCTATGGGTTTTGCAGAGTTCATTTACTGAGCTCTATAACTAGCTGAGTTAGAATTTAGGGTTTCACTTATACACTTTATAGAAAACTGACTAATTTATTTAGGCCTTAATGGGTGGAGAAAGAGGTCAGAAATATATGCTTACACTTACACGATATGGTGCCAAAGCATAAGATAGCTTGAACTTAAATTTATGTATCCAGGAGAAAAAGCATTGCTACAAAATTATCTCATCAAGCTGCCTGTTTTCCCAGGAAAAGTTTTCCCTAAATACATGACAAGCTCAAGACTGCACCTTTCAAAAAATTCATTCTCCATCTCTATCTGATCCTCAGTAGTTATTGTTGAAAGCACACTGCATATTTTAAGAACCAAACAGAACAGTGATTTCCCCACTTTTCGAGAGGGGCCCATGTGCTGAAATCAATGTACTGCAATGTGTGGATTGCTCATTCACTATCAAAAAGATAAAATATATGAACTAAAGCTGTACTGTGAAAGCTGAGCAGAGCTGATACTAAGCAGATATATTCAAGCAATAGAAATATGGTAATATATTCTGCAATTATTGGATAAGGGAGGAGATCAGTTTCCACACTGATGCTTTTGGTCTAGGACCTAAACAAACAGATGGACTTTTGACAAATCAATAACGTTCTCCAAAATAAAGTGTTAAGGATAAAATAATAAAAAAAAGCTTATTTGTTAGCTGTTATCTATCCTTTTTAAGGATAAAAATATTAATCAACTATTTGCCAATAGATGAATTATTTTTAAAATCCTGATTTTCTCTGCAGGCTTTATCTTGCTTTTTGGGTGGGGATAGCCAGCAGAGCTCCCCTGAATATAATTTTCATTCTCATGGCTCCAATGTTCATCCCAGTGACTATACCTTACTCCTGCTGACTCCAACATGCTCCACACCTCCTCTCACTGAGACTGGCAGAGCTCCTACACAACGAAATGCTGTCCTGCACCAACGAGGCACTTGGATCTCATCTTTTCTTTGCAAGCTCTCATCTTTAAATTCCTGAAAGGGAGAGCTTCACGGAGCAACGTCTCTAACACGGGTTTTCTATAAACATGTAAAAAAATCCAGTTCCTTTCTTCTTTGGCTCAAATGCCAAGGATGGAAATCAGCATGGCTGGGAGACAGCCATTTGCTTAGGAAAATAGGGGTGAGGAATGGACGAGGTACAAGCTCTCGCCTCTCTTATCAGACGAGCCATTTAACAGCCTCAGCGTGCACCCTTGCTCCTTCTTGCTCTTCCTCTGTGGCACCCTGGGCTGGGGACAGCAATCCGGGGAGCAACCTAGCCGACAGGAGGACTATTCAATTTGCATGCAGGTGGTGAACTTCTGAAGCTGTATTACAGCTGAGGCAGGGTGGATTAATTTTGAGTCTTTGATATTCATTAACTTGAGCGTCAGAGAAAAATACAAGGAGATGACACAATTACCCTCCGAGCTTCGCTGCAGAGCAACAGCTTTACAGTCTCAAGTTCACAACACTCTAATTGATCAAGAAGGGGTGAATCCCTACGAAGGGAGGTGAAAAAGCATAAGGCTCAAGTAAGACACTGCTATTATAGGGCTTCAGAGAGTCAATGATGCTTTGCGGGCACTTAGCTAAATGGCCCACATTATTTGCTATTTAAACCACCTTCTATTATTCAGCCCTCCTTGGGTATCAAATGATCCACTGCCAAACAAAGCCCACATTTAGCCTAAAGTTTATGGTAGTCAATGTGCAATTGTCAATTCCTTTGAAAGCAGTGCAGGCAGTCTCATCACCATATTTCTCTCTTCAGGCCATGAATCCTTTGACCTGCAGGGCCCTAGAAAATACATCTGAAACTAGGAAGATTTGTTCCACAAGAAGGAACAGCAGTAAAAACAAAAAAACAAACAAAAAAAAAAACAACAAAAAAAAACCCAAAAAAAAAAACAAAAAAAAAAAAAAAAAAAAAAAAAAAGGCAAAACAACCCACAGATCACAAAAGGCTTGGCTGCTTCGATGTGCCTGGAGTGTAGGAAGAGTAGCACCAGCTGAATGTTTACCTTAGGATCTTCATAGACCTCAGGGTCCATGTGCAAAATCTGCGGGTAAAGGGCTATCCAGTCTCCTTTCCTCAAAACGACTTCTTGATTTCCTTCAAGCTTGAGAACAAAATCCTCTTGGCTGATGCGGATGTTCATGGAGGACGAGCACATTCTTAAACTCTCGTTTAAGGCACTCTCTGCGATTAAACAAAAGGGGGGAGGGGGGAAACATCAGAAATATGGGAGATGACTGGAAGTTATACATGGCTACAGCTGCTGATTCTCCATGAGTTTAGTAGGGCAGGCTAAAGGAAAGAAAAAAATGGAAAAAAACCACACAAGCCAAACCAAACATAAAGCAGAGACCAGGAGGAGGCAATACACAACCCCCCAGTGTTGGGGTGGGGCAGTTCAGGGGTGCTGAACCTCCCGAAGTGATTCTCCCTGATGGTGATGAGAAATCCTGTCAGTTGTAAGCAGCACCAGGTTTTGGGTGGAAAGTCATTATTCAGGCATCGTGTTGAAAACAACGCAATCAAAAGACATGAACGCTTTATGCATTTACATATATTTTGGCGGTTGCAAACAAGTACCAGCGAAAGCATCCATGGAGCTGTTCAGCTTGCCTTTTGAAAGATGTTGGATTTAATGGTAGGACTATACATTAGAAATCATTCTGCTTGTTAATTCTCTAGTCATTCTGAGAATTTTTAAATGCATTTTCTTTTCAATGCAGTATGCTGCCAAATTATAGTGTCTGTTGTGGTCAGAGTGAATGAAAGCAATTCATTATTTGCCTAGTAATTTTAAGAGAAAAAGACACTTCTAATTGGCCTAGAGGAAACAAAACATAGTCCTTTCAGGTTTGGGGAAAGCAAGATTTCTGTCTCCACCATCACATCCTGGAAGGCTCCAGAAGCTGAATGTCCTTGCTTTCCCAGTGGCCTTCACCTTTTGCTCCTAGCACGACAGATTTTATGGCTAATTTCCGGCAATTTATCCTGGCAGTTTGAGGAGGAATTCCTTTGGGAATAATATGCATAATTTGCATAAATCATTCTGATAGCATGTATATCAGCATGTAGCTCCTGTCTAGGGCTGCATCTCTCACTTTGTAATCAAAACTGACTATTTTTCCACCAGTGTGTATGGGCACTGTTATATGTGACTTGATTCCTTCTAATCATTAGTGTGAAAAATAGCCTAAAATAGGGTTTCATTTGCATGTAATAATCCATTTGTGTCTGCCTTTATGTTTTGTGATATCAAATAAGCCTTCTCTAAGTGTTCACCAAGGCACTGCAATTGCTGCACCCAAAAGGTTAGTTTATTAGAGACAGTAGCTACCCAGTGTAGATGTCTCTGAAAAGAATAATAACAAACGTTCTTTCACTAAAAATTAAATCTGGTGCAGCATGCATAGCAAATAAAGTGGCCCTGGATGCTTTCTTGCAGGAGGTTTTTCCTTAAGCATGCATTTGTCTAAAGAAATGAGGCTGCGGTCAGCTTTGTGTGGCCAGTGCCGTGATTCAATGTGACGTACAGTGAGTCTGTGCATATTCTTTTGGACTGCCTTCGTTACTATAATCAGGCAGAGTCAAATCGGCTTGTTGGTGACGAAGCCAGAAAAGAACCCTGGTTCCAGAAGATGGCCTCTACTGCGGATAGCCACAAGGCACCTGACACGATAGATTTCAACTGGCAGCGCTCTGGCAACAAAACTTTATGCGGTACAAAGGAAGGGTCCAGCCTCGGCTCCAGACTGCCTTCAACCTGCAGAAAATGAAGCTGGTAGCTTTGTACCAGTCCACCGTTTGGAAATGGTGGTGACATACATAGAGACAGCAGAAGTCAAATGAGGAAGAGGGAAGGAGGGGGAAAAAAAAAAGAGAAATAATTATAAAGTGCCGCGGCAAAATAGCAGCACGTTTAACCACCCAAGCAATGCGGTCACATCCTATCGGCGGACATCCTCCCAGAAAGCGCGGCTGTCCCTGCCCGCTGCCGGATCTCAAATGACAATTGGGCAGCATATCTTATGCAGAAGTTAATCACAATAATGGAGCACAAAGTGTGGCTTAGCGGTCAGATCGTAAATGACAAATCTGTTTTACCTTCCAGTACCAGTTATGTGTGGAAGGCGAGCTTGGCTCTCGCTCTGAGCGATCATGCCGATAATCATTAGATGACAAAAGTAATGAGTCACATTATGATCAACAAAGGAGAATGGAGCTTATATGGCTTTGCAGGCTCACATTAAAAAAATAGACAGTCAGCTTTCCACAAATGCCAGAGCTATACATTGAGAGGAATGACAACTGCACAATAAAACTGCAGCCTTTACTTGCAGTTGTCATAGTTCAGCAGACACCAGCCATCGCTGCTGACAGACCAGCTGGGTAGCTTGGGAGGCCTTCCATTCTGCACCGTGAGGTACAGTAAATTATCCAGCACGGTAGAGCAACATCTGTTTCTGTGCTTGTGCCGAACAAACAAGGCAATTTAAAGCATACCAAGGGATAACCAAGCAGCAAATGAACATGACCCTCATTTTTTTCCCCCCTTCTTACACACATGAGATGCTAAACTTCACTGTGCAAGCGCTACATAAAGAAGCCAGGCTGTTGTTTGATAAGGTGTTGTCAGAGAGATTTTACATCTTTTCTAGAGAGAGAAGGAGGGGGGAAGACAGAGATATATCTCATAGTATTGTTATTCTTAGAATCCTCCCACTTCTCTCTTCATTTCTCTTATACTAAAGCTAGCACTCAGCTTCCAATTCATTCTAGACTTTTTTTTTTTAAAAACTGTTTCAATATACTTATAAATATTCAGTCTTTAAACCCTAATTTGCTATACTTAGTTCACATGCCTTCAAGCATTTGTCTTCCAATTTCCACTGAATAAATGCGTACTAATGAGAAATAGAGCAAGCTGCTGAGGCAAAGCTGGGTGACTTGAGCCTGGCCTGCCACCAGCTTGTGATAGGCAGGCAAATTGAGTTAAAATGAAAAGTCTTGTCAGCTGAAATACAACATGGTAGCCAAACAGCAAGCTGTCAATCATCCAGCCAAAACAAGGGACTGCAGGTAATAAAAGGTCATTGCGAATCATAAGTGCATTTGGCTTTCGTAGGCAAGTTAATTTTAATTAAACATGATCTCTATCTGTAAATGTTTTATAAAACTTATTGTGCAGTAATGGATTGTTAATTTTACACTAACACAGAGCAGGTAATAGGGTGCAATAATTATTAGCGTGTATTGTAGGAAAATAGCTTTCGAGTATGCAAATATTTGGGGGGTCATTTACCCATGGGCATCACGGTGTGCCAACACAAACGATGATCTGAAACAAGTACATTTGCATCTTACCCAGAACTAAATGGTACTGCCCAGCCCATTCCAGAAAAATATATTTATTCCTTTCAATTCAACCACTGATTTTAATGCCTAGCATTTGTGTTACGACTACACACTCTGTATTAGCTCCTTTTGGGTCCCTACCCTTTCTTGTGTACAAAACAATTTTTCAAGCTGTGCTCTTTTTGCAGGAATATCTGGGATTCAGCAATGACCTGGGGCAAGAATACTTCACCATATAAATGAATGGACTAATATTAAATAAACGAACTGACTAAACATGCCTAGCATTGAAAATGCACTAAGTACATCTCTGCTTTACCCTTGGCATTTCCATTATAACCAGTTTAACTGACAGACCATTTTCATGTGTCCTTTACCGTATTACAGCTCTGTTATGAGCCACAATGTCTAATAATGTATGTTACTCTGTGCACACAAATACACACGTTTGGATTTTGGGATTGTATTGTGTTATGCAGACAATACAAAGGGTTCTGCCCCGGAAATGCCATCAGAAGAAGATAATCAGGGCCAAAATTTGCTAGTTTGATTTTGGGTTTAATGTGTTTTACATTTTGGTTTAGTTGATTGGTTGTTGTTTTAAAAAATAAAATAATCATCTACCTGAGCTTAGAATTCAGGAGTAAATCAGGCCATATTGTTCCCTAGACCCAACAATGTGACCATAATAACAATGCTCTTCTGAAGAAAGACATTTAGCAATATGTGCTTCTTCTCCATAGCATGAAGAATCAAAAAGACTCTTGTTATAGTAGGCCAAAAAGAGGACGGAGAATCAGAGCACATAAAACAGGAGAATGAGATGACAAGGTGATGAACATGCAAGCATCCCACCTGGTCTGCCTCATTTGAGAGCAGGGACACAATCCCAGTTTCCTATGCTCCGGCTTGGCACAGAGGGAACAGAAAGAGGAAAAGCTCAGTCTTGGAGGTTTGGGGTCAGTGGCCTTCCTGCAAGAGGGGAGGTCTTGGTGTGCAAGCAGTGCAATTTGGGACCTTTGTCCCTCCTACACATTTATTAGCAAAACATCCCTTTCCCCTTTCCACTGAAGCATGACTCTAATTCTCTTATGGTACAGATTTTTTTCTATATTATTATTTTATGGGACAGTATCCAGCCCTTTATGACTTAAGTGCCACAAGAATTGAAATCTAGCTTCTGTTCATATCACATTATGTTTAACATGATTATGAAATTTAACAAAAGTGTTACAAGAATACTACAAAGTAGGATGTGGCACTTCCCTCTCAACACATAAATCAAATGCTACCAAGGTACTTCAAGATTTCAAGAAGCAGAGGAATGACACAGTTAATGTTTTTAAACTGTTCATACTGTTTTGCACCAGATGGTTTTAGTGAACTACATGGTTTTATTTTCCTTATTCCTACACTTTTGGGGAGCCTTTTTTTTCTCCCCCTTTTTTTTAATTGGCCATTCCCATCTCAGTCTATAAATATAAACTAAGTTCTCTTTTGATCTTCTTGATGCTTGGTGACTTATTTATTAGTGTATGCTAGCTCTGATGTGAAGTGGTTTTACTGGTGCTCCTTAGAAATCCATTAAATGCTTACAAAGTCATGTTACTCACCAGAACTGTCATCCAATACCTGCTGTACTTCAAAAACATTCTCCATTGGTTAGAGATAAATCTGCATCAAAACAGCCATGACTCCGGAAATAACCAGCTTCGTAGACTCATGGTATGTAAGATTAATATTAATGCTCTAACACAAAGGAAATGCATCGGACTCAATTTTATACTTGTACTAATCAAATCAAGTTTGCACACAGATTCTTGAAATGTGCCACATTGGATGATCTTGGAGAATGGCAGCTATTACAAGGATCCAAACCAGGCACAGAATGCACTGCTCCACCACCATGCCTTGGCACAGCTTTGTTTAAGAGTAGAGCATCAGTTCAGGTCATGAGCTACCAAGACCTATGGACATTAGCTTGTTTTGAACACGGGATTGGTTTTGATATTTAAAAACAGAGGATTATTGAACCTTTAATCTTTTGTTCAGCTGTTGTCTGCCCTTGTAGCACTACTTGTGGAGATTCATAGGTGATTAAAAGTTAGGTACCTACCTGCTACACCATCTTTCATCCCTTGGGCTATCTTCACCATTTCTCTTGCCAGTGTCTATTCACTACCAAATGACGTGAAACCAAAAGCTGATGCTCTGAAGGCCTATACAGCTCCTGATTCAAACAAATTCCAGTGACCACTGGCAAGGGTCTCCCTCTGAACCCTGAATCCAGAACTCGAAGATGTATAGTTCCCTTAAAACTCCCTCTTTTGAATAAAGTACTAAAACCACCGTTTGTCCTCTGCTAATTTTTATCTTCTTATATTTTATGTGGAGGCATTGCCCAACAGAAGCCTGTTTTAGAAGCCTTTTTTGTTTTGTTAAAGAGAGAAAGAAAGAAAATGCTTGCAGATAAAATATATTTGCAGTTTAAATATACAATCCCACTTTAATTTCAGAAAAGGGTCTTTCTTGGCAGTGCCGTACAGGAGTATTTGAAATGCATTAACACTTCGGCAGATGCTCAGAATCAAACAACTTAATAGGCATCAACTTTTTTTCAAATAATTGCAAAGCTTCGATTTAGCCTTTTGCATACCTTGCATAGTTAATTACCTAGGCTTTAATGTTTACATGCAATGAGAGTATCTACAGCTATAAACTACATAATTTATAATTGATGTAAATGGGTGTTATTATGTCAATTAGGCAGCTGTGTCCTCCACCTTCTCAGTAAACAGAAATGAGTGATAAACCGAGTTTGCCGGGAGAGCCCCTCTCCTCTTCCTAACAGATAAAAATAAATTACCTAGGTAGACCAGGTTGTCCAATTGTTCTCTGGTGAGGTGGATGTTATATGTGGGCCCTCTCTTTTGACCTGTTGACTGCAGCAAATGGTCAATCTCGTCACGCACCGCTGCAAGAGCTTCTGGGTGCCGCAGAAGATAATACATGGCCCAGAATGTAGCTGGAATCGTGTTTCCCACAGAGGCCCACAGGAAGGCAAAATGATGTGCTGGGAGAAAATAAGTGAAAAGGAAGATTAATAGCGTTTATTACACTGATTAGATTTGCAGTGTGCTAATTAAAAGATGTTAGGACACAGACCCAGCCAAGGATCAGTGAATGCTAATGAGGACCAATAGGCTTCTGAAGTCTAATTTTCTGCTTAATGAGAATAGTTTGAAATGTAATGTCGGGGGGGTGGGGGGAATAAGGGGAGGAAATGCAGCTCAGTTATAATCTTTCTCATTATCACCATTAAGTATCTTGTTTTACCACCTCAGCACAAAAAAAAAAAATCAATTATCATAGAGGGTTGTTTCAGAGTAAAACATTTTATCATTAGCCAATTAGAAAGAACATAAAAAAATTTCAAGGTCGCCATTTTGCCTTTTTATTTCAAAGGTCTATAGTAAATTATTTTATTTTAGACAAGCAATCATTCATAAGTTTCCTACCTGCTTTGTCATAATCTCCAAGCAGCTCATATTTCTCAAATATATCTTGTCTGGCTTGGACCACTTTTGACCCTCCCAGCCATTTTGTCATGTTCTGAAGTAAAAAATGATGTATAAGCTCCTTCCGAACCTTCTTGGTAGCTCCTAGCAACTCAATTGGTATGTTTGCAGCTAAATAGGGAAAGCTGGCATCAAACTTGATAAATTTGTCTCTGATTTCACTAATAACTTTGTGGCCATCTGCAGCAGGAACTCTTCCATATAGTGTTACAAAACTGGCTTCAAACATTACAGAGCAGCAGAATTTGTACATTTTTTCTGTTTCCCAATCTGTTGCTTGTGAGCATTTCCATTCAAATATATCCTGGAGATTTTTCATCATGTGGTCAGAAATTATATCCAAAGGCTTGCCTTGTAGATACTGGTAGATTCTGTGCAGGTTTTCCTTGAGTTCAGGGAATTTTCCTTTTGACAAGGCTGGGTAGTCAAAAGTTTTGGATGCCATTTTATTAGCGAATTCATGAAATTCAAGTTGCTTGCTATTTCGGATGACATAGACATATTGAAATGGGTCCATGATAAAGGTAATATATCTACCTGAATAGAAGAACAGAAAATAATTATTGACATGTGCACTTTTATAAACCTGGTGACACTTCCAGAAGCAATAACTGAAAATAAGCCGAAGTCTGTGAAAAAAGCATGCAGGGAAAAAAACCCAAAGCAAAGATATGTGAATAAATCTGCAAAGAAAAATAATTATGAAACAAATATTATTCAGATTTTCTTTGTCAGGATGCAGATTCCACCAGTGTACACTTTGCAGGTTCTTCTAAAATCCTTGTGAAGCCATTTTCATGTAGACAGATCTACTGTTTTTGCCAATAGTTGTGTGTGATCTCTTCAAATGTGGTGCTCTGAAATAAATAATTTTCTACTCAGGTCTAATTCATGAAAATACAGTGTGGAGTCATAGCAACATTTGGAAACTGTAGGTTTTCACTAGCAGAAAGCAAGAAACACACACATTTCACCTGCACAGAGGAAAGTGAATGACAGGGGCTGGAGTAGAAAACGTGCCTAGGCAGCTTTTTCCAAGCAGATGACACAGGAACTCATAATCTGTCAATTCCAGCTTTAACTGCATGCTGCAAACCCCCAACATTTAAAGCTTTTCTCACATCTGGCTCTTTTTCCTTGAAGCTTTGCTAACTCTTTGTTAGGAATTTGCTTAGTACCCATAACATGACTATCTTAGTTTATGAATGCAAAGTCACAGCCTATGACGTAGCAGGCACCATTTTTAGCACGGGCTCCACTTTGGGATACACACTGTCCCAGTGTTAGGATCCATTGTGTCAGAGTGCACCACCAACCTCCCACCCTTCCCAGGGTCCTTAATGAGGTGACACAGTGGTGCCTTCAGCTCCTTGTACAGTGGGATGGGATGGCATCAAGTTAAATGCTTTTTCAAATTGTCCCTGCCAGAGAAGTCCTGCAATTTCTCCCTAAAATTCAAGACAACTGCTGAAAAAAAGCATTTGGAGAAGCTACTATGAATCAAAATGCTAACACTCCCAAAGCTCAATTAAATCTTAGCTCTTTATAGATGGTTCTGAATTCAGAGTTCCTGATTCTTACCTTGAATGAAGAGGTGCATTCGGGAAAAAGGGTACCTATTAAAAAGTACACTTTCCCTCTGAAATATCCCAGTCACAAACTCAGAGAAAGAGCAAAGCTTCCAGCACTTACAGTCTAATTCTGTCTCACTACAGGGACAAATCTCCTTTGATTTTAATGGGAACACTACATGCTTAACTGCGGACCAAATTTGGCTCTGTGACAGATGTCCAGAGATAAAGTAGTCACTACCACTAAAAATGTCAAGTATCCATGGTTACCATATAGTGATATCTGAATTATCATAGTTATTTCATATTCTGATTTATATACACACACAGTGCTCTATGGTATCTGGGTACACTCTGGAGTTCCTCTACAATTACCAGCTGCCGTAATTCCCCTCCCAATTACATCAACTGCAATCCCAGTGAACTAGTAAGGAAATGTAAAGGATATATCAGGACAGAATTTGAACCCTTTTTCTTTTTTGTCAACAGTGTGTGAACGTTTTTAAGATACACATGGATTTTGTTTTACTGTAACATAATCAACCATAGCTGTAAATTTAATTTTAAAGAACAGGTGTATTGAGAAACTAGCATGAAGGAGAGATCCTGAATTTTCAGTCCCCTTTTTTGACCTTTGACTACAGAGGCTAACAGGAATTTTTAGTCTTTACTTGATTTTAGTCTTGCAGGATCTTTGTTAATGAGTCCTAGAACTACCCTTTCTTTCCAGCTTTCACCTACTTTCATGCTCTTTATTGAGGCTACCATCTTTGTGATCAAAGCTTGGAAAGAATGTCCATTGGAGCAATTTTTAATAAATAGATTTAGAGTGTTATTAACCCTAAAGATGAAAGCTGGCTTCTTAACTTTGCATTTACAGGGTAAACAATTTAAGTTAAGATTTTTAATTAATATTAATTTAAACCATCTGTCCACCATCTGCTTATTTCTGATGCAAAATATGAGTTTCTTTGTGATCTTTAATCAGACACTTAGCAAACGCACATCAATTCTTATCATTTTTAAGTAAGAAAATGATTTTCAGCAAATGAGTTTTCAGACAAACAATTTTAGTAATAATTTTAAATCAAAACTCACTCACCACTAGCACATACTTTGAAAAAAAAAGTCCTTGAGAAAAAGCATATTACAGATCCTGGTTTTATTATTCTCATCAGGTTCCTGGTAGCAAAAAGTAAGTATGTAACAAAATATAATTCATTTTGTAGAATCAATTCAGGCTCCAGACCACATCACTGCAAGTCAACAACGTATATAAACACATAAACCAAAATATTTCTTGTTGCTACATTTAGTAAGGGTCTAGATAATCAGAAAAGTGGAACCCCCCTATAACAAAGGCAGCTTGTTTATGTATGCCATCGAGAATCTAATTTTAGATCTCTTAATTAGAAAAGTACTAAAACCTAGGGCTAATTAATGGCAGTTAGAAAGTTGTGAGAGTGGGTATGGGAACCTTTAACAATTACAGTCATCCTTGCACACAGATGCACTACATGGCTACACTGCTTAGCCCGGTCTCATCCATGCAGGAACAGATTGCTAATTACAAATCGTGCCCCAACACCTCCTCTACACCCGGAACAGAAAACATCCAAAGTGGAACAAACTTTCTCACCTCAAGTTATGATTTTAAATTTTTTAAGTGCCAATATGGTCCTTAGTTTTGCTTTTAAAATCCTGTCCTTGTCCCCAGTGAGGTGTCTTCCCACTGATTGTCCCTGGTGGTGTCAGAGACCAATAAATTAAAACCTTTCATAAAGTTTTCAGTTATTATTTGGTATTTTAAAATGAAGTTTCCCCCTCTACTCCCATGTCTTTCCACTGCAGCTAATGCCAAGATAATCTTTGGAAAGTAACCTTTTCTGAAATCAATTCAAAATCTTGATACTTATGGATTTCCATCAGAGTACTAAAAAATGTAATGCCAAATCAGCCAAAAATGAAGGCATACTACTGTCTCCACCAATCAAGTAGCCTTAAATATTAAAGGCATTCATATAGAAACCACTAGAGACTAAGCCTTTCCCTGTTAGTTTGTAAAAAACCCCTTCAACACCAAAAACTAAGTAGACATGTACATATAGAAATGTCACACTCCAATTCACAATAGTTTAAGCCACTGAGCTATTTTATTTAATACAGAAAAACAAGTCAAAACAAGAGATGTATCCTTATTTCTGCAAAAAACCCTCTGATTTTTTATTTTTAATGGCTACAGAGAATTTATACTTCACTATCCAATTCTTCAGTCCGCATTACACCCATGCTGCAAATAGCCTGGTTATCTCCATTTAGTTTCTTCAATCTCCTAGAAATAGAAGATTGATGTGGAAAATATGAAAATTGTCAACTTCGGTAAATCTGAGCACAGAAGCCAGTATTTGTATGATAGTTAAGAAATTAGTCTAATAATGCATTCTGGACCTTTTTAATGCTAATGATGAAAGACAAGCATTTCAGATGGCATCTAATGATGGATGTTATTTCAGTAATGCTTGGAGCAGGCTTCAGCCTGGTAAGGAGTTAATGTAAATTACCTTTTGCCTATGAGAGAAAAATGTGATACGCTACTGTAGGTGTATCATGCTTTAAAGAAAATAATGACTTAGCAGCAGTATTCAAAAAGGCAACTGTGCTTAGCAAAAACCAGGAAGATTATTTTATTAAAGGTGAGTTAGTCTCCGAGAGAATGTTGCAGGGTTCATTATCACTCCTATCAACTTGATAGGAAAAGGACACAGAGTGTAATCCCGAGAAACAATGACAAAACTGTTTCAAGCTCTTTAAGTTCTTACCTAGCCGTCTGCCTATGCTGCTGACCCTTAACAAGCAGAGGCGCTTGGGAAGTATGATCATCTCAATGCCACAGACTCTCTCTCTGCTTCCCCTTCTTATTATTTTCTTTTCTGATCTTTTCTTTTTTTTTTTTTTTCCCCCCAAGACTATCGCATTTACGTAATCGTCCTCTTATTAGGGAGATTCTGCTGAACTGCTGACAATGATGTACAGTGGTGCTGCGCTGGCATGACGTTTGGGGAAAACGATTCTGCTGCACCACCACACAAAAGCAATTAGAGAACTATTTTCTGCGACAGGTCAGGAATTTACATTGTTTCTCATAGAAAGATGTGCTTTTTAATTTCTTTATTAAGATGACATCCATGTCCCTTGCGACTTTTAGGGATGACAATCATTTGCTCATCACATGGGAAAGTACAATCAGCAAAATCGCGTTACCAGTACGGGGCAACGCCAGAAACTCCAAGCATCGTTCTGCATTTTCCAAATGAACTAGTTTGAGAACCAATAATTATAAAAATATATATTGATAAAATTTTTTGACAGGACCTTTAGACATCCACCAGGGGGGTAAAGTAATGATAGTCCACATACAGCTGGCTACGCTATGTTTACCGAGCACAGAAACATCATCCTTGTCAAATCAGTAAGACATACAGAAATCCTGTATGCCTTTGGAACAGGACATGATAGAAGGCACTAACTAGCTTTGGTTTCCTCCCTGACTTGAGGACGACAAACTATTTCTCTTTAGTGAAGTCCTGATGGTCAGCACTTTTATACCGAAAAAGAGAACCTAAAGTGGTGTCTCTGTTACGATGAATTCACAAAATCAAACATTTCCCTGCACAAGACTGAAATGATATCCAGAACTAACTCCATTTACCTCAGTCTTTATTAAGGGAGGCTTGGCTCAAATCACTTGAACATGGGGGATTATCTGAGATGGAATTTGGTTTATCATGGAAATAGAAATTTCTGAAACTAAATTACACTCACAGATTGGTTAAACACAAACATCTTGCATAAAATAATAAAGAGGCAAAAAAAAATTTGATTAAACACTTTTAAGATTTTGAAGTATGACTGTATCCGGTTTTATGAATGTACTAGTATCTGAATTATAGCTATTAATCAGTATTTGTAAGAAGCCAAAACTGTATTATTGGGTGAATTCAAATTAACAATAAAAAAGACTGTATTTCAACAAGAGTTGGTGTTGTACTGTGCCAAACTCACTTTCAAGTTGCAAAAGATCTGATTATACCAGTTTTCAAAAAAAAAAATCCTGAATGAAATTTTAAAAAATAACATATTTAATACAATAAAAATTCTCTTCCAAGGGGACAAAAGGACAGATTTTTTAAAGGGAGGAAACTTTTTATTAATTAAACAAAGCTTGCAATTAAATTAATTGACTTAAAAAAAATTAATTCCAAAATATTGCTTCTATAGAAATATAAAGCTAACGCTACTACCCTAGGAAAAAAAATAGCAAACTTTACATTTTACACTGAACATTTTTGTTTCAAACTCCCTAAAACTACAGGAATAACTAAAAATTATATAGACTAAAATTGATCATTTGAACAGGGATATCAGCATGTAAAGGTGCAGAAGATGATTATAAACATCTATATTAATAAGAGCTTGCCTTTCTGAACAGAAGAAAATACTGGATTTTATACTGACTTTAGTAAAAAGTAGATCTCTATAGATAGATGTAAATTTATATATTTAACTTTCATTCAGGATTTTAGTTTTATTCTATGTTTTTCTTCCACAGATAAGTGCCTATGTGAAATCACTCAAATGTTTGTATTCAAACTGGCTTAGTAATACAGTTATAAATACAGGAAACAGCAAGGTTATATCATACTTTATTATATTGTTATTTTCAGCAAGCATGATCAGAGTAAGAGGCTGGCAACGGGAAGTTTCTGTGTTCCAGTCCCGATTGTATCACTGAGTCAATGTGTCATTCATTCCCTTGTGTTCCTGTCAACCAGTTGTAAAATGTGTGAGAACAAATTCTGCACTTTTTTTCTTAAGTGTTTTCTAAATTTAATCTAATATTTTTCTGTGCAGTGTCAAGATTATGTTAGTTCTCCTTTCTTTAGGAAAAAACCCACCAATACACAATTTAATATGCTGGCAAAATCTATGTTCATACAGTACATACCTACAAAATCTGTCAAAATACATATATACTTAGAGATGTAAATAAATCCACACATTGATAGTGATATTTTATAGATAACTATTATGCTTACAATATATGTAAATCTGAGGGATTTTTATGGGTCTATGCTAGAGAAAAATGTTTTGGGTTAAGGAAGATTCTAAACTAAACATTTGTATTAGTATTTAACTTCACTGATGGAAAAAAAATCAAGATACATACTAAAATATTTCTCACCAGCAATATGTACAGTGAAAATATCTCCAAATTTCTTTTGCTGATCCAGTAAGAATTTGTAAGCATCTTTTCTAAAAATCAGAGCTTTCCCAAGGTAAGGAATCCAGCCATTTATTAGTGGGGGCTCTCCAGTCTTTCTGTTAAAAGCAGAAAAAAAAAAAATAAACAGGAGTTAACTTTGGCATGAGAGCAACTCATCTTTATATCTATTTATATATCACACTTAGACCCACCATTTACATCTATAATTCCTGCAATGTATAATATGTTGTACAGAAAGTTCTTCAGATATGATGGCAGGTTAAATCTAATCACACCTCTGAGCACTGAAGGCTCCATGTGGTGATTAGGAAAAATAAGTGAGAGAAATTGAGACGCATTTAACTACAGGTCGTCCAGCTATTACCATCAAGTTATGAACACAGAAAAATGACATTCAGTAGAAAAACTCCCAGCAAAGAGCCATCTCATTTTCAATATTTGGTGTGTCAGAGGAAGATGTATTGGAAGGCAATTATGACAGATTTAGGTAAATAGGACGCCGACACACCACACAAAACAAGTATCCTCACAGATAACATTTTCATAATTTCAGCTTACCAGCACAGAGAACAGCCATTCTAACTAAATATCTCTAAAATACAGGATAATAATACAGGCTGAACATTAACTGTAATAAATCTTAGTCTCTTTATATTTATAGTCTAAGATAGAAATGTATCTGGACAGTTTAAGAAGAAAATCCAGGTACTGATGTTTGCATCCCAGTTTAAAAAAGCAGCCATGGTGTGTTAGTTATCTTTACGGAACAGTAAAAATACCTTTTAAGAATCTACTAAGTTACATTTTCTTTTAAAAGGAAAAAACGTCTGTCCTACTCCTGACTGCAAGTAAATATCTTTCCTTCATGCTGGTCTTTAGTTGCTTGAATCTGATTTACAACAAAGAAACATAAAGCATGCTTGTTCTGGAAGGGATTAAAACAAATATTCACAAACAACTCTGCTGCTACATCCCATCTGTGAAGGTGACTTACACTACATGCAGAACAACTCATTCTGATTAAACACAAGATATTTACTAGCTTGGATCTAATCAAAGATCAAGGGATCACAAGCTTTACTACTATCATACACAGCATGGATTTTTATGTAGCTGGATTAACCCTATCATAGTCACATTCCCCCTTGAACTGCCGTAACACAAATGAAAAAAAAATTACAATAACCATGATATGCTGTATTTACTTTTAATTTTACTTTCATAATTAAAACTTTTTGGGCAGGAAAATACAAGTCAAAGATTTGCTCCCTTACTTAAAAAAAGTTATTATAATTTACAGATAAACAGATGTGGCTAAACCAAGCTGCATATTTTGATCTCTTTCAGTTTAACTAACTTCAAATTTAAGTTTCCAAGAACATAATTTTGTCCTCTGGAAAACCAGTACATCTTCTTGTCTGACAGTCTCACAGCCAACAGTTTGCTGTACCTTCTTCACTTCCTTGAGTTTTGTGGCTTTGCCATTTTGTTTGGTTGTTTTGTAGTGTGTTTTTTATATTGAAGAGAAGGTGAAGTTCCTCTTTCTTCAATACCTCCCAGAAACCACTGCATTAATCATCCTCTTGTGGTCAAATAACAACATTATTTACTCAAATGGTCCAGAAAACTTTGTAATGTTTATTTTGTATTAAGTGAATAAAAGCAAAGAACTAATCTGAGATTACATGAGAGGGATCACTAGCCCAGGAAGCATAGCAGCCAACTTGATACCCTCAATTATCCCTTCCAAGACTGTAAAGAATCTGGATGATTTACCCATTTTTTTTTCCCCCCAGACTATTAAGTCCTGAGAGTGTCCGCCTTTCACTTCCCTGGCTGGATACTATGTCCTGTAAGTAGCATCCTGACAAATATTTAGATAGGCTTTTTGTCATCTTCTAATTGAATGCATCTAATTTCACCCTCCATGTTCTGTCATTCGGTCAGAAGCTGTATTCTTCACGAGCTCTCTGGCGGGTAGAAAGAAGGCAGCTCAGAAATCCAGGGGAAAATTAACTTAATGCTCCAAGTCTTTGGGATCACATCAGGGAGACATTTTGCTATTGCAAAGACGTGAGGGTCATCGTTCACTTCAGACATGTTTAGCTCAGCAGCAATAAGCTTAACACTGTTAAACACTGTGTCAAGGCTACGTGGCTTTCAGAGGAAAATATAACACCAGTTCAACTTACGACCCACAGCAGACTGATAACAGAAATGTGTCTTCATTTCTAGCTTTCTGTCTCTTTGGGAGATGGAGGTCATCTCCACGACTTATCAATGTCTGCTAACACACGGCACAGAAAAGAGCGGCCGCTCGTATTTCAGTGCCTCCCCAAATCCAGTGCCTTTCTGCACAAACTTTCAAGCAGAGCAGTGCAGCCAACCCCATTTCCTGAGGGACTTTAACCTGCATCCCGCGTATCTCCAGAAGTCTTCATCAACTTCGGATGCTAAACGGAACCATTAACAAAACCCACAGAAACTTTTACTGCTTAATTAATTTGCTCATGAACTTTAACTCTGGACTCACACTTCACAGAAGTTGTAAAATTTGATAATTAGGGAAAATATTACAAGCATTATATTAATAAGAGTTATATTTTACTCATGACAAATATTTTGTTGTACCAAATGCAAAATACAGCTAAGTAATATAAAAGATCACTATGAAGTGTTTTGATGGAAATTTAGGACTGCAACTTTTTTAATTTAAACATTCAGAATGTCTTACAGATTATGTTTTATTCAAGTCTAGTCTAACTGCTTAAATTCTAATGCATTTAACAAACCTCACAATATTCCCAGGTCTTTTCACTCCACATATTGGGCTGGTTTTGCTTATATAGAGGAATATCTTTACTTGTCTGAGAAGCCTCTGTAAAGTCAGTAAGACTTAATGAACAAATTTCTCACATATGTGACTGAATTTTACAAATAAAGCATCAGCAACATGTCCAATGCAATCTATAAGTAGACGGATCAGTTACAAAGTGGAGGGAGAGCAACACAGTTGTATCATCCATCATTGTTAAATGGATAATTTCAAATGGCATTATGCAAAAATCAGCTGGCTACAAATACAGCCCATAAATAGAACGAACAGATTTTGATAACTGTAATTTTTCACTGCTTTCACAGAGAAAAGATACTTTCTTGTTAGCAAGTAATAAAGTTGCAACATCTACTACACCATAAAAGAAAAGTTTTGGAGTTTGTTTACAGTTTCCTTAAGGGAATATTTTTCAGCTCACCTAAAACACAGAAGGCAGTGACTCAGGTGTGATTATTTAGCTACTAAGGCAATACTAAAATATGTGGATGCTGTCTCTATGTCTCACTTATGCTAAGCAGCAGTGATGCAATAAAGAAGGAGAGAAATGAGCTTCAACATAAGTATTTTGGAAAATGTTCAATAAAAAAATTAAATTCAATGCCTCTAAACTTTATGCTTTCACGTAGTGAAAGGGAATTATTTTGGAAACCCCAGTAAGGTAATTTGTAAAGGTCTCTGAACATGACATCTTTTTTTTAAAATTTTTAATTTTTTTTTTAGTTATAAAGAAAATACCCTAAGGATTCACAAGCAAACAGACTTTGCCAACATGATCTCATAGAAATATTATTGCTTTATAAAAGCACACACAACTATTCTTTTCTTGGTTACACCATTTTAACATCACTGCAGTGTGAGGCGTTGAACCCGTGTAAATGAGAGGAGAATCTTTCACATCTCACTAGTTATTTGTATTCCAAAGGAGCAGATGCCTTTCAAATTATGCAAAAACCCACAGCGCATCTTGTACTATAGCAGATGAACAGGTTAATTTTTCTTTTTGCACATAATAAATCATAAGTGCTTTAACACCCATAGTCGCATTTCATGAACATAAACCTTCTGTTTAATAATGTCTGTTTACAACTAGAATCAGACATACAGTAATCTTTTGCCTGGGATAAACATTAATCCAGATCTGTCTAGAAAAATTATACAATTCATTACCATAAGTAATCTCTATTGTGCCCCATGCTTAACCTTCATCTTTTTTTCCTGTCCTATAATCTTGCAAATCCACTGGTGGTGTATGATTGGCATCTGGTGTTAAGGCAGCCTTCACTGCACACAGCACAGCTGAAGAAGCCCGACACGAACACGTCACTCTGCAGGGTAACGCCGGTTCAGCTGACCGCTTTCCACAGCAACTTCCACCAGAGGCGGAAAAAACCCACAAGCCCAGGAGAAAAAGGTCTAACGATACCTTTTGCCACAGAGGGGTCATTTTCACTTTCCACATCATCACCACCACTCACAAAAGTTAAAGTTAGTGCTCTGAATTTTCCATAGCATCTTTGGACAAACCATCATAATACCATGTCCAAGCTGGAACACACCATGTCAGGGGACTTTAAGGAATGGAAATGGATTGCCACAGAGTAGAACAAAAGCTATTATGAACATGTCAAAGCAGTTAGAGATTATTCACAGGCTCGATCACAATATTTAAGCAACAAGACATGACAGACAGTGTCTTTCCAGGGGCTTATGAACACTCTAACTGTGAGGAAAAGAATGAGGCCAAAGGCTTCAACCCCAAGAAAGGTAATCCCCAGAAATGTGGTGTCTGGAATGTCTTCTTGTATTATGAGAGAGAGAGAACACTTAGGACAGGAGGAAGGCAGTGCGTCTTTCTATTTTTATTTTTTTAATTTAGCAGTTACAGTTTTCCCCTAGACCTACTTATAGGTGTTCTAGATATATGAGGACAGAAAATAAAATTTTCTTTCAAATATTTGGCCACAATACAATTCTTGACATTTATAAAAATATGCGTTATTAAATTCTCACCCAAATTATCTGACTCAGTGATCTCCTGGAACTCTAAATCTTCCAGGTTGAATACATGCAGTACAAAAAAGCATTCCCTGCAGAACAAGCCAGAAGAGAGTTTTAGCAATATACAATCTTTTACCCTTGAATTCTCAGCTTACATACTTCCTGTGCGGGTAAAGGCATTGCTCCTATCTGGTCACTGCTTTCAGGTTTGTGGGGAGTAAATGGATGCATCACCTTGAGAGAGACATGGATTGACTCGAT